CTGTGCTCCTGTGGGCTTTGGCTTCAAGGATAAGGAGTGAGGGACAGCCCATCAGCGCAGCTGTCCAGCAGCGAGATAGATGTGGTGCAGACATTACAAGGTTACGTTCTTTCCTTTCAAGTGAGCTCAAGTGCACCAGCTGAAGTCTCGTAACATTGCTTTAGCATCCTGCAGCTCTTGTGAAAACATCTGGCATATCTCTTTTTTGGCAGTCCCTTTCACACCTGCTGGAAATGGGAGATGTGCTGTACCACAACAGGTTTGTCTGAGATTCTTGGGGCCTTAGGGATGATAGAAATACATCTACCTTGTACTCATTTCAAGCTGGAGGGGAATGGTTTTATTGTAATAGTATTTTGACATTATTTGAAACGGGGGGGCACCGTGGTACAGTGATTAGCATTGCTGCCTCACAGCTCTTGGTCCCTTGTGTTCAGTTCTTGGGGGCTGTCTGCATGGAGTCTGAATGTTTTACCCGTGTTCACATGAGTTTCATCTGGTTGTTCTGGTTTCCTCCCACAGCCCACAGCTGTTCTGGAAACTGGCTTCTCAGAAAATTACCTCTGGTGTGAGTGCGTGGGGGTCTCTGTCCCGCGTCCCATTCAGGGGGCACCCTGTCTTGTGCCCATTGCTTGCCGGGACAGGCTCTGTTTTTTTACATCTCACACTTCACATTCTGCTGGCTTCCATTTAACACATGGTGGAAAGTGACTGGTGGCTGTTTAAATGTTGCCGTTGAAGCTGTTGACCTTTTCGCTGTAAAAATGAAAAATGGAAAAGCATGCGCTTTCCAGATAACAACCTGATCAGCAACTTCATTAATACTCGTCCATAACGTCAGCTTGTGCTATTGTTTGCCTTAATCAGTCTTGATACAGGTTGACACGCACCTGAAATGGTGCCAGAAGAAGCCCTAAGGGCGATTGGTCCCAATTAATATTCTACACATCCCTATAATTGCTCAACTTCATCTCATCTCAAAAAGGCTCACTTGCAGTTTTGTTCTGTTGGTGCTATAATGGTTACTTTGAATGAACATACCGGCAGGACTCTTCCCTGACCTTGCAGGATAAAATTGTTCCTAAAAATGTGCATTCAATCTTTGTAAAATCAGTATTTCTTCAAAGCTACTGTAGGGAAGCACAGTTTTTGTATGTAATTATTGGTTTATAATAACCATTTTTTCCCCCAAAACTGTCATTTGAGATTTACATTATCCCAAAATCCTTTTCTTTGTTACTCCGGTTCGTTTGGTTTAATACCGACACTCATCACATCTTTTGCATCCATTGGAGGAAAGACTGGTCTCTCTATACAGATTTCAAGATTTAAGTTATACTAATGTTCTCCTTAGACACTGTAGATTGTGTAGTGGATCTATCATTGCATAATTAATTACAATTTGCCATTTAATGGGAATATGCACAAAAGATTGCCTATGGCACCCCCTGGTGGGCAAGTCTACATCCCCCAGTGCAGAACTTCAGTGGCAAAACAAAATAATAAGTTCCCACAAATTGTAGAAATAGTGCCTGTTAGAGGCTTTATACAAGTCATTAGAAAGTTTTCTCCAGTTGGAAAAGGGATTTCAATCCTATACATGAAGACCAGGAACAAAACCTAATTATTGAATTATTAAATGCATCCATCCATTCCGTTTCTACAGTAACTGATCCATCAAATTCCAGGTCATGGGAACCCAGAGCCTATCCCAGCAAACAACAGGCACAAGGCAGGACACACCCTGGCTAGGGAGTCAGTCTTTTGCAGGGCAGACAGATATAAACACACACAAACACAAACACACAAACACACACACCAGAGCCACACCAGAAGCCAATGAACCTGCCAGCATGTCTTTGGACTGTGAGAAGAAACAGGAGCACCTGGAGGAAAGCCCCGCAAACACAGGGAGATCACACTGTACAAACTGGGCCTGGAACTGAATCCAGGGACCCACTGAACCAAGGCAGCAATGCTGCGTGGCACCATGCCACACTCAGGAACCTTAAATATGCCATCTTACAGTGGTGTTAGAATATCTGAAGATCAACACCGGTGCGTAGCAAACTGAATTTGTATGCCTTTAAATATTTAGACAGGTGCTAAACACAAATCAACTGAGAAGTCAAGCGCAGGTTTGAACTATTCCAAGCCTGGAGGAATTCTGGCTTGCTTCTTCAGGCTCTCCAGGGAGGGCTGCACCCTGAGGCATCCAGGGAAAAATGTAATTCTGCGACAGGATGTCTCCCTGCCAAGTGTAAAGTGGGGAAACAGTGACTCCGACGGTAGGGACTGTGTCCCTAGACCTTTGTGTACACTCTGTCCTGGGGCATTATGGGAATCTATTTGCGTGCCTAGGTGTGGTTCGGTTTTGTAAAGAGTTTTCTTTTTCTTTCTCCACTATTCCGAACAAGGATAATCATACGCATCATCTAATGGGTGTTCAATGGGTCTCCTCCAGGTGCTCCAGCCTCCTCCCCCAGTCCGGAGACGTGCTGGTGGGTTAATTGGCCAGCGTGTGGTTGTCTGTGCCCCTGTGTGCTCTGGGTTTGACTGGCGTCCCATCTAGGGTGTACCCTGCCTTCTGCTCATTGCTTGCCAGCTCCCCCACAGCCCTGAATTGCATAAAGCAGTTAGTAAATGGATGGATGGAACAGATAGTAGGGTAACAGTTAAGAGAAATTAACTATGTTGGCCTACAGGAATGCAGCTTCTAGTCAATTACAATACAGGTGGAACTTAAGTAAAGTCACAGGACTTAACTTGGAAATACCACAGAGATATACATAATAAGTTTGACATCCCTAGGATTCCCCCCCTACACCGAGTATAAAAAAAAACAACAACAAAGAGGAAGAGCTGAATGAAAGCCAAAGAGAAGAAATGTCAGCCTTCCATTTGCTCTAACATTTCTCTTTCGCTTCTTATATTTAATTATTTCCTGCCGGCTTTATCTCCTCTTTGCAATGCTCGGCCGGATTTAAAAACATAAGCGTTTAGAGCCTCAATAAACAAAAGACTTGGCAGAGAAAATAATTCTATCAATTAATCAAATTAATCCCGTAGTCTTATTTACAACCCCCAGTAGCAGAGATTCCAGCGCTTGGCTTGTGCTATCTCTCACTGACAGTGCTTCCAGACATCTTATATAATTGCAAATAGAGGGCCAGCACGGTTTCGTTCTGCAGGTTCATATCCACAGACTCAGAGCTGACCACCTGTGAGCAAACAAAACTTTTCTGCACCACTTTCAAATGACCACAGCAAATCCTCATCAGTCATTGGTAAACATATTTCTATTACGTTTTCACACTTCATGCAGTTGCAATTTATAGCTTTAAATCTAAAAGGGCACAGTGTACAGGAACATTGTGCCCACTAACATGCGCTCCTTTTATAATCATTGGTGACAATGAGAATGAACCAATTTTTAGATTTATTGTATTTTTTATACACCTTGCTCATGTATGAAGTATTCAACCGCTAATGTAACGAGTATGTCAAGGATCAGGAATAATAATAATAATGTGCCAAGGAGTAACAATTCCAACCATTTTCTATTGAGCTATTGTTATACTATCAAAATATTTCTCCCATTTAAACTACTCAGGTCAGGTTCAAACCCAAAGTTCTTAAGTAAGAAATCTTAATAAATTAATTAAACATCATAATTCCACTAACAAAAGGTGATATTTTGATGAGCACTTCTGTTCTGCTCTCCACTCTTCTGTTCTAATTTGAGATTATTTTGTACTACCCAGAATGCAATACCGAGAGGAACAGCGAAGAGACAAATATCAAGTGAACCAAAGACAGCTCAATAGTTAGAATAAAGTTCCTCTTTCTGTATTGTAACTGCATAGATTTTCAGGCACTGAAATGCCAATATTGTTATGGGCATGTCTATTGATTACAGACAAATTATATCTCATTTTAATTGACATTGACATCTCAAAGTTGTCTGAATGAAGGCTAAAAAGGTATTGTTATTGTTTTCAAAGAATTGTTTGCTTTATCAAATAAGAGAAACATCGAGTCAACTGTTATGCAAAAGGTACATTATATCTCTTTTGCTGCAGGCTCGTTTGTTCTTCAAATGCATTTCTTTAATGGCACACGCCCCCTAGTGACGATGTGTTGAAAATTAGATTTCTCGTCAGATGTTTAATTGCAAAAATGTTACCTTTTCTTAATTTTAATATTCATATATGAATATATATATACACAATATAAATAACATCATACTTAAACTTTAAAACATTTGTGCACACTTCTGCTCACGTGATTTTATCATTAATATTTCATGATACCTCTATCATTTTCAACTGGGGGAAAAAACCTTTATCCGCATTAATTGTAATTGTCCAATTAAAGATTCCTATTTATCTCTTAAAAAGTGATAATTGAACAATGCTGTGGCACATTGTTAAACTCTAAACAAAACTGCAGAGACAAATCAACTCTTTAACAATTCACTTCAGGGTTTTCTGGACAAGGGTTTAGGAAATTATTCCGACTGAATGCACCCAAGTGGAGCAGGTGTGAAACTAGGAAATGGGATATTGTCTAATACATCAGCCCCTGGTAATCTTGCTTTGAGAGGGAACAGGTTAAGCATTGTCATTCTGCAAGCAGAAAAATGTAAATATGCCCACTGAGATGGAGATTTAACTAACAGAAGATTAATTTGTGGAACCATGAAGTATGATGCAGAGAAAATACATAGAATCTGTATTTCAGCATTCGCAATGAAGACACATTGAACCTAAGAATGTGAGAAAGGTTACAAATGGGATAAAGAGACCATTCAGCACATCCAGCTAATTTGCAGATAGTAGATAATTTACAGAATATGAGCATCCCATCCACTTTTAAACCAAAATGTTTTCATCTTCAGCACCCTGACAGGGTGGCTTCACCCAGATTCCTATTTTAAGTATAAAAAATGTCTCCTGTTCTAAGTATTAAAATAAAAACACACCCATGTAAAATTGCAGCTTTTTTAATAACCAACTTTTTAAGAGGCACTTTAAGAGCACACTTACAACATAAAAATGTAATAAGTATTTTTTCTCTTTTTTTGTTGCACAATATTAAAATAAAATTTCTGACATTATGCATTGCACCAAAAGTAAAATTACCTACATTTATAATACAATATAAGATACATATGAACAAGATAATAAAGCACCTTTTTTGATCTAGAAAATAAAACAAATTGCAGGACAGACACAAAGCACTTTGTTTTTGTATGACAGTATCAGTGCATGGATACACCTCCTTACATGGGGAGTTTGGGTTTCATAAACATCAGTAAAATATGAAATGTTCTTATTTGCACCTGAGTTTGCATTCTAAGTCAAAAAGGCTTTTGTGATTTCCTTTCCTTTTCAAAACCTACAGTTTAACACTTTGTTGTTGAGCACAAAAGAGCTGTAAAGCTACAGAACACCAGCATAATTTGCTTGAAAAATGTAACTTGCTACAGATTAAATGTTTCCTTTGTTAAAGGAAATCTGTATTCACATTACAAAGAAAAATAGCACCAGGTACTGTTTATACAAAAGCTAATACAATGAATGTCATCTTAATACAGTAAGATAACAAACTACATAATGCAGAGCGATCTGGACAGTACAGAATAGAGTGATTAGCTGGCCCAGTTATTTTGTTTTCTAGAGAAACACAGCTAAAATATTTTCAACCTTTAGAAACTCCATTGACATGCATTTAAAATTCAGTTCATCTTCAAGTATTTTTTTCTTTTTTCATTTTTCTCAGAGGGAGCATGAAACAGACAGTCTCAAGGGAGAATGACACAGTTAAGTAATATCTAACCCTCGGTACTTCTAAAAAAAAAAGACATTTCACTCGACCTGGTCTGCCCAAAAGCGATTACGATTTGAGTTCATCAAACTAATTCTCAACATCAAAGTCCTCACATTTGCATGATAAAACAGGTGAATTAAAGGAAGAAGATTAGTAAGACATAAAGCGAAAAAAATATTTCACAGAGGCAGCCATGCAATCTCATTTACACGAGAAACAGAAATAATTCTGTCGAGTCTAATGCTTTGATTTTTTCCTTTTTTGCGATTTCTTTTTTTCATAGCATCCCCTTAAAGTCAAACTTATTAAATTACTCCGAAGTGTCTTTCCTTAAAGGAATCTTAAAGCTGGTTAATTTTTGGCCAAATAATTGACTCAGGAGATGGTTCTGCGACTCTGCTGTCCTGTAGTTATGAGAGTCAACAGATCTCACTCCCGAGACAGGTCTGAACTTGTTCATGGCACTATTCACTAAAGGAACAGATCCTTTTGCTGAAGAAGAATGCAAAGGTCTCCCAAGAAGCCCTCTTTTCCCTTTGAAATCCCCATTCAAATGGCGCACATCTGCTTTCTTTGGGGTATAGCTGTCAAAGTTCCTCTTTGGTTGTACATTAATCCCCCCAGCCTTAGGTTTTAAGTGGGTTTTGTTGCTGGACATGTCATCTCTCAGAGACGAAAGAACCGGGTACTCGTTAATAATGTCAGCTTTCTTATAGCTCCCTGTGCTTTCAGTCTTTCCAGGGCTCTGAACTCTGATTTTCTTCTTTCTCATCTCTGAATCCAGATTTTCTCGTGAGGAGGAAGAAACTTTTGCGTTTGGAGAAGCCTTGACTTCTTTTCTTTTTTTCTGAAGTTTCAAAGACACTTGTGTAGAATCCCTTTCTTCACTTTTGCCCCCCCCCGAGGTGTTTGGCTTCACCTGGTTTGGCACAGGTTCGCTTGCTCCTGGCGACCCCACAGAACGCTTGAGACCGTCATCGGCGAGTCTGACATCATCGCTCGACTTGGACGAGACTCTCTCCTTGGTCTGGCCGCAGGTTTGAATCTCGCTGCTGCTGCCGCCCTCCTTTGAATCGCTTTGCTCCTTTTCATTTCGCTCTGGACAACCGGAAGGCTGCTTATGTTCCTCTCTTGTTTGGTAAGATATGACATCCACAGCTTTCATTTTCATGTCTGTTGCACATTCTTGTTTTGAGGCATTCTGAGATTCTAAACTTTCTGTTAGGTCCTGATTAATACTGTCCTCGCTCTGAAGGTTAACGGTTTCTGAAATACTTTTATATGCCTCAGGTGATTCAATTATCTCCTGCAAAGCTTTCTGGGGACTCTGAGAAACTTCTTGGTCACTTTGGGTCACATTTGCAGTTACTGATTCAGTTCTGAAACTGCTTCTGCTAACCTCTTCTTCCACAGTAACTTTATCACCTGATGGTGAGTTATACTGCTTTTCATGTTGATGAAGAGATGGATCACCATCTTCTTTCACGTCACTGGTTTCTGTTAATGGCTTAGAACCCCCTTCACAAACTTCCTTTGCTTTTTCTGTTACAGGAAGCTCAGATGAAGGAGAGTTGCTGGTCTTAATGTCTGGTATAGCACAGGAACGACAAGGGGATTCTGCAACCATGTTAAATTGTGAGTGCTCCATCTTAGCTAAAAGATCTGAAAATTCCTCTTCTTCAGTTTTTACACTCATATCCTGCAGGCTGGGGGAAGGATTAGTGGTCTCAGTGAAGAAATCTGGTGTCACAGTCAGTGTCTGTTTTGAGGGATCAGTTTCTCCAATGGGGCTAAAGTGTAGGGAAGCTACACTTGCAATGCCACTGTCAGAGCTTTTCTCGTTCACACTCTCAGGAGAAATCTTTCTCTTTTTATTAGGAGGCATGTAATCCCTTTTGAAAGAACCCTGCAGCTCAAAGTCCCCACCTTGTGAGGGTTTGCAAGGTCTCATCACTCCCCTGAATTTAAATGTCTTGCTACCACCTGCAAGATGCTTTTCCATGTGGCGGTCATATTGCTCTTTCTTCGAGAATGTGTAATTACAAGTGCTACAAATGAAGGACTTCTTAATAACATGCATGACATCAGCACATAGCTCACATGCATAAAGTGTGGTGTGCTTGACGTCTGGTTCCTCAATCACCCTGTGCTCTTCCTTCAGGTGGGTTTTAATATCTTTTAATTCCTGAAAGAACACTGGGCACTTGTGGCACAGATACATTTTTTGTAGGCTGTGGACTACCAAATGCCGCTGAAGTTTGAAGGGCTTGGGGAACTGTTTCCCACAATGATGACAATCTCTGGAAGGATCTTTGCAATCTGGATGCATTGTGATGCTCTTCTGGGCTGGTTCTGTTTTTTGCAGGACATCTGGTGGAGTCTGTATGCTTTGTTTTTCACCCCCACCAGAGTTCAGCTTAATTTTGACCACAGTTTCATTTTCCTCTTTGACTTTCATGTCCTGCTCAGGGCTGTCTTTTGTGATCTTCCCTTCTTTAGCAGACATCTTACTTCCCTCATTTTTATTAGGCTTGCTTGGCCTGCGCTGCATGATGGAACTTAGAAAGTTTTTCACTGCTGTTTCCTGTATGAAGCAGCCAGGCAATCCCAGCACAGAATTCTGGGCTTGGCCCTTTCGAGCAAATTGGGTTGCGTGTTCTCTCAGGTGCTCGTTGTACATCCAGACATCTGAAATCTCCTTCAGACACATTCCACAGGTCCATATCCCTGCTTTGTTCTTTGCATGCTTTTCTTTCAAGTGATCTCGCAGTTGCTCTCTCGAGCTAAACTTGCGCTGTACACACATGTAGCAGGTTGGAGGAGGGGAAGGGTTATGAGACAGTTTGTGAAAATTGAGCTCACCGAGGGTGAGAAACCAAGTGAAGCAAACCTTGCATTTATACTGCTTGTCTTTTGGTTTCTTTCCAGCCTCGTTGCATTTTCTTACTTTGCGTTCCAGTGGTCTTTTGCTAGGCTTTGCACGTTGACCAACTGCAATATCATTATTGACAGTGGTGGCATTTATGGGGCTCTGTTTCCCAGGCTCAAAGAACTGGATGTCAGGGAGCTGAAATTTAGTGTTCATAGTTGGGATATCTATGTCGTGAAAATGACAGGGGTTCTCATGATGGTTTGTCATATCAGCTTGAGAAACTAAAGGATCCGACACTTTTTGAAGGCAGGATGTGGCTGGATCTTCTTTTTTGCAAGGTGTTGATGTCTCTAAGGATAACACAGTTTCTGCAACAATATCAGTTAATAGGTCTTTGGAACCATTCCATTTTGCTGGTATTTTTGCAATTGAATGTAGCCCTCCATTAACTTCAGGGTCTTTTCTCTGAGGGCCTGTTTCAACATCTGCTGCATGGATTACATCGTCAAATCCAGAAATGGTGACACCCTTTAAAGTGCGTTTATGACACATGTCCAGCATTATAGCATCATCAATTGATATTGTCTCATACTCACAATGGTCCCTCAGTTTACTCATGAACACTTGGTTTTCATGCCCCTCAGAAGGCTCTTTGTTATCCACTGACATGACGGTAACAGAGCATGTTTCTGTTAAGGATGTATCAGGGGTTACATTTGGCTTTTTATTTCTTTTTCCATACACCCTTGTGCACTTTTTCCGAATCATCTGTTCATCTCTGGGAAACAGCTGGGAGAATGTGCTTTCGTCATCAAGCAAAGCCTGGAGGTCTGACGGTGACTCAGAGATGTTTGCGGAGGGTGTTTTAAAAGGATAAGGAGGTGGATCCCCCCACTCTGTGGGACAGGAAGTCTTTGCACATTTCGTCTCAACTGGCTCTCCTAGCATTTCTGTGCAAATACTTTCAGGACACATCACTTTCCGTTTACTTAGTTCTTTCACGTCATCAAAATCCTCTTTTGTGCATTCGAACAGCCCACACATTCTGTCACCTTCAAGTCTATTACCACTGATTTCTGGCAGCTGCACTCCTTTCTCATCTGGTGTATGCACTCCATTTTGACAAATCTGAACAGCCGGTTCATGCAGGCCAGTTTTGTCTGTCTGTGTTGTATTGTTGGCTAATTTGAATGAGAAGATATCATTTTCTTGTGTTTCTTGGCTTCCATTAACCTTGGGTTGGGCTAGTTCCTCTGGTTGCACCGAAAGCGCATCAGTTCTGTTTGATTCTCCGGCAATACTTGGAAAATTGGGAGTTATAGCTTGTAAAATGTCAGTTTTAAGCATACTTAATATATCTTCTGAAAAATGGTCAGCCATTCCAAGCTTAGATTCAAAATAGCTCCCGTTATTGTCAACCTTTTTGCCTTTCGGAGCTTTGCCAGCTCTTTTAGTCTTCATGAGTGAACTTAACATTTTTTGCTTTCCTCTACTCCCCAGAACTTTTTCCTTATTTTTTTCCTCTGAGCCTACAGTTTCTCCTCCTTGTATTAAGTTTATTTCTTCCTGATGAACTATGAAAGGAGAAAAATTTGTTTTGGTGGGTAGTATTTTACAATTGTCAGGGTGCAAAAAGACTTTTTGATTCACAAGCAAAGTAGTTTCATTCTGTTCCTTTTCTAAGGAATGCAACTGAATATGAGTGTCTCCTCTTCCTTGGTCATTTGGTGAGCTGTTTGCACTCACAAAACTGTTTTCTCTCATAAATGCTTCTTGTTTCCTACATGTCATTGTGTTTTCCCAGTTCTTTTCCACAAGGATATTCCCATCCCTTTTTGCTGCATGTTTCATCGCCTTGTGTCTTTTTAATCCAGGAACTGTCCGGAAGCATGCAGAACATATATCGCACAGGATTGTACCTTGTAAGGAATTCCTTTTAGCATTTTCATTCTTAACATCATTCACATCAGCAACATTCTTTGCCTCAATTTTATTTTGCTTGCTTTTTACCTCTCTCATCTTAAATGGATCTGGCAGTGTTGTATCAACCTCTGAAACATTCTCCACAAAAACTGGTAAAGACCTTAGAGTTTCTGAAGATTCCTGGTTGAGACAATCTGTTGCTTTTTCATTAGAGGATGCATGTTTCAGTTCTATTTTATCTGCTTTCTTCAGGAGACCTGTATGTAAGTCCATATAATCTATGGTTTCAAGAGGAGAGTGGCAAATATCCAAGTCCTGAATATCATGTGGCACTGGCTGGAAGTTTAGCATTGTGTCAGTGATTGAAGTGCTGTTGTTGTCTTTGCAGTGAGTGCATAGCAATTCAGGGCAGAGACACTTTGAACTGTCCATACCAATATTTTGCAAAGATGTTGATGGTGAACAAAGACTGATTTGAACGTTTTGATTTTCTGATGACTCTGAAGAGACACTGTTGTGAACAGGGCTGATTGGTGTTTTGCATGTTAAAGGCACAGGAAAGCTTACATCACAGTTGTCTTTTGGACTTTTCTTGTAGAGAGCTTGATTGTCTTTGCACTCATTTAAGGTTTCTGTTACATTATGATATTCATTGAGGCTGCTGGATAAGTTTGTTATTTCTTTGTAATTTAAGGGGCTTTGTTTTAACTCATAGAGGGAGTCCAGCCCTTGCCTGTTTGTGACTTCAGCAATTGTGTGAGTTTCCTTGAAAGTCTCTTGTGATCTCATCAGGGAATCTGATGGTTCAAGTGTGCTAACCAAGGGTGGATCAGACTGAATCCCTTGTTCAGACTCAAGGCATTTCTTTTCAGAGATGTCCATGTGAATGTCTGCAAGTCCAACTAAACATGGCACCTCTGGTGAAGTGATTGCATTGGAGTCACAAAACTGTATATTGTTTGTATTTAATACATTATCATTTTCTTTCCTTGGTGACCGTCCATTTTCCATGGAAATTGGGGAAAGTCTATCAAAAGCATTCCATATCTTTTGGGAATCACACTGGTCAAACATATTATTGTGTTCACCAGGTGGTAACAGGGACTTACATGGAGAAATTCTGCTTTGAGAAATGGCTTTATGGATATCACTGTCCTCTTTCCCCTTTCTCTCATCTTCTACACATGGGAGCTTCAAAGTGAGCTCAATGAGGCTGGATTCTCCATGTTGTTCGGATATGTGGTTGCACTCGAAAAGTTCAGTTGTTGTTTCAGGTTTGAGGCTAGCTGCAGTCGTGTCACATCCTGCGCTTTCTATTACATCATAATTTGCAACTTTCATGTCATTCTGTTCAGACCCTGTGGCCTCGTCTTCCACTAAAGGCTCATTTGCTTTATAATATGACTCTGGGAGGGTGTGTGTTGATATGCTAGAGGGTGTTAATGGGTCACTCTGTACTGTTGCAGTGATGACTGCATCGTCATTAGCAGTTTCTGGTGTCATGCATCTTGATGCTGCAGCTTTGTGCACATCATGATTAATGGATGTTACTTGGGTTTTGCCATCAAGATCAGGTTCCTGTGGATTGGGTGAAACTGTAACAATTTCTCCAACAGCACCTTCACTTTCTCTCTCTACACCATTTTCACCTAAATAATTGCTGACATCTGTACTTTCTATGTCTTTAGGCATGTCCTCTGGTAAGTGACTCGTTTCTGGATTGAGTTTGAACTCTTCTCTCACTTCTGTTTGCTCACAGGCAATGGAAACTTGACTACCAGACAGGATCATAGGGTATGAAGGCATGACCATTTCTTCCTCGTTGTGTTTGACAGTGCGAGCTACAAAAAGCTGTAGCTGTTGTAAAGGGTTCACTGAAGAGCCTTCTGAAATGGCAGTACTTTCTTTCTCCATCGTGTCATTTTCAAACGTCTCGGTCTCAAGAGCTGCATTATTTTTGGTCCTTTCTTCACTGATTTGTTTTTCATCATTAATTTGTGGCTGTGCTGCTTCTGAGTCTGCATCATGAACTGTCTCTTTTGCATGGCTTTCAATGGGTTTGGTTTTATCATCACCGACTGGTATATCCTTACACACGTCTCCATCTGATTCTGCACTCGGGCTTTTTGAATTAAATGCTTTTGATTGGGGAGACTGTGCTGCATCTATATCAGATGAACAATCAGCATGCTCGAATGGAAAAAGAAGTGCTTCATGCTTTTCAGAGTTTTGATTCTTTGCTTTTCTTTCTGCAGGTTTGGTTTGAGAAAGTGTTTCTTTTTCATTTTGCTTTTGTTGAAAAGCACCACTCTCACTTTCAGCAGCTTTAGTCAGAAAGGGGGACACTGGTTCTTTAAGTACATCTGATAAGGAACCTTTGTTAAAGATGGAATCTGAAATCACCTCCAGACTTTTCATAAGATTTTCAGCATACATTTGATTTTCCAACAATTCTTCAGATTTGTCTAACAGAGGACCCTTTGCAGTGGATGTGGTTGCTGTTTCACTGTTTTCTAAGTGTTGTGCTGCTTTTCCTGCATCTGTCTGGAGGCTTTCAGCATCTTCTTTGTTGTAGAAGGGTTCAGGGGAACTTGGTTCAGCATGTACTGGTGTATGAAGGCACTGCTGCCCTTCCAGCGACTCAAATTGGAAGGCACCTGACCATGAATGTTCTTGATCATCATAGTGCTCTTCTAAACTTGGATCTGTTGCAACACCAGTCGCTGCCAATTCTGTATTCTCAACTGTGGCACTCATAGACATGTTTTGTTCATTCTCAGTTCTGTGGTCCAGAAGCAAAGGTGAAAATTTGTCAGAGGTTAGTCTTTTAGAGATTTCATTGGAAAGTGAAGTAGCACTGTTTAATTCGGTTGTCTGCAGCTGGCTTTCCAGTTCTGTAACAATCCTTTTGATTTCTAACTCATCTTCAGCATTATTATTTATGAAGTTAGTGCTATAGTCAGTTATTTTCTCTGGCAAAGCCAAAGGAACGTGACATGAATTAAATTTCTTATTAATGGCCTTGTCAGAGAGATCTTGATATTGACTGATGTCATCAGGCAATATACCGGTCATCAGATTCCAGTCTTTCTGCCCTAAATATTGGGGGAATGATGACTCAAAGAGTTCTCTTTTGTCATGATTGGGCATGAAAGAATTAAAACTATCTTTGCTCATAGGAACATCTGTATATAGAGTGTTGTCAAAAGCAGGAACAGCAAGATCTCCAAACATTGATGAAGTGTCAAAGGTGAGTGGTGATTTCATCAGGGTTTGGTCAGTTTCAATGGGGTAAGAGACACTGCCCTGCTTGGGAGCATCTTTCTGTCCTGAAACATCATGAAGGTCAGCTGGACACAAACAAATGTCATCAGGAGGTACAGTGGCAAGTGGCGCTGATTTGGTGAACACATCACAATTAAAAGTATTCATCATGTCTTTGTCACGAAAGACGTTTTCATTTATCCTCTCAAATGGCGAAATAGCAAGGCCTTCCCCAGGCAGTAAAACTGCACTTGAATGTTGCACTCTTGTGCTTCTGCTTTCATAGTCTGATTTGTCCCTGTCCTGTGCATTATCCTTTGTGTTTTTACTACAATCTCTATTTTCATTGATAGCATCAGGTGTTGTATCACAAATGCGAGATGACTTGGCATTTGTCTCTGTCTGGAAGTGAGTTAGATTCCTTTTAAAAGATGAGCTTTCCTTTCTACCAGTATTAAAGTTTTCTGTATTGTCTTTTACCTTAGGTTTTTCTAAAATATCTGTCACACCATAATTCAACGTTTCCTTGCTGTTTAAAGGCGAGGCCTTTTTTCCCATGTCTTTTTCGATGCTGTATGAATCAGGTGTGGGTTCTGATGAACCTTTTCCACTTGTGTTGCTGGAATGGAGATACTTAGATTTTTGTGAGCACCACATATTGGCAGAAAGGAGAAATTTAGCAGAGCCATATCTCTTTGTGTTTTTTGAAAACTGTGATGGGGCTATGCAGGTTTCTTTGGGCGTTTCTGATAGTGATTGTTTGTACGATTCCTGCTCAAATGAATCAGAAAGGGTAATGTCAGTTTTGTTTGTTCTCTTTTCTAAAACACCCTTTTCATTGTCAGAATCTGTGCGGTCAGTGCTCTTCGGACTATTCATGCTTTCGCTTGAAATACTCGCAGGTGTGCTTAGATCACTACTTGTTGAGGACCTGCTGCTTCTCCGCCTTACTCTCCTACTGGCAGTGTCTTTGAGCGGTGGAGGAGAAATGGGCTCGGTGATTTTGCTCTCTAGACTTTCCTTCGGATTGTATTTCCACTGAGATGGTTTGTCTTTGCCACCTCTTCCTCTTCCTTTGTAATCTTTTGTATAGCTGTACTTGGATCTGCCGCCAAGTCCTGGTGCAAGACGACCCCGGTTGGATATCCGTAGAGGTTCAGACTCATCATCTGAATCTGACACATAGTCATATTCCCCGAATTTTGCATTCTGTGGTGCAGGAGCAGCCCTTTCCATTACAAGGGAAAACTGCAGATTCTTGGTTCCTTTCACATGCAGCTTATGTAGCTTGTTCTTTTGCTGAACAATTTTGTGAATAAGCTCCTTGCTCCATGTCCCACCCCCTGACTTTCTTTTTTTACTTTCCTTTGCTCCAAATCTCTGTGTTATTGTGCTTCTCGTACCAGGTGAGTCATCAGGAAGTGCAGGTCTTAATAAAGGGGAGTTTTCCTGGTAGCTTTTGAGCCCACTTCTCTCTGAGAACTTTTTGGACAAGAGAATGTCAGGTTCTTTCCTGCTTTCTTGGGAATGGTTGCTTATTGGCTTTCTTCCTATTTTCATCGTCTCATTTTGTTCTGAGGACTTTTCGAAGAAGGAGTACCCCTTTGTTTTTTTATGAGACAGCTCCTTAAAGTTAGCTTTTTCTTCCACTTTCAAGTCCTCCGGTTTCTTTTCAGGGTCATTTGTCATGCTTTTATTTTCAGTGCTCAGGTTTTCCCTGTCAAAGTCATACATATATTTTACCTGCGATTGTGACCTCTCCTCTGAAGCAGCCACATGCTTGCTTTTACTTTCAAACAATGCAGAGTCTTTCGTTTTTAGGCTCTGACTGCTTCCTGTCACCTTTACAGTTGAAATGTCATCATCAGTAAATGCATCAATGAAGCTGCTGTCAATTTCTGCATTGTCAGATTGATAGCCAAGGCCATTTAAAGCTTCTGTGATAAGGCTGTCGAGTTTAGCATCATCAATTTCTAAATCTGAAGAAGTAAGGGAAATAGGAATCCCATTTAATAAGTTCATCTTTAAAGGATCATCCCTTGCGTCTCCTTTCATATCACTGTCTGATAGTAATTCACCATTCTTGTTCAGTCCTAGGAGAGAGAGATGCAGATCTGATGAACACCTTGATAAAGGGAAAGTCTGTTGATTTGGGATAGGCTTTACTGGGTCTATTTGAAGCTTCCTGCTCTCCTCTATTTTTGATACATCTTTAAAATCACTTTGAGTGACCGAGTTTTGACTGCAGTATTGTTTGTGCTCCAAGAACGATGCTAGATTGTTGAAGTTTTGATCACACTGTTTGCAGGTGAGAAGAACATCAAGCTGGTCTAGGTTGGCAGTGGCTAATGAGTTGGCTAACAACTGATGAGCTGAGTAAGGAGGAGGTGGATGGTCAACACCAAAGCCATTCATACAACCCTTTCCATTGTCTATGTTTGGCTTTGGGAATTTGGTATCGTGTAGGTAGCTGTATACGTCTTCTTTGGTTCTTTCTGGAGGGAAAGGGAAGTTTCTGGAGGTGTCAGTATGGAGATGGTTAATGTTGGAATTCAGCTGATCTGAGGACTGAAGTGTCTTTCCATCTTTGAGATGGCAGTGCTGGGAATAAAAAGGAGGGGGCGGGCCTGCCATGGGTAGCTGACTGTCTTCAGAGCTGACATTGACTGGGCTTGTTGACACAGGAGAAAGAGAAGAGCATGTGCTGCTTGAAGCAGGGTTTTGTAGGGGTGAAGGCAATGGGGATTCGTATGGAGAAGCTGATATCAAACCAACTGGTGCCACCTGCAAAGGTGTGCGATTGTTATTCCTAGGAGGAGCACTGGGCACAGGCTGGTTCAATCCATAAAACATTGCTTTATTCCTGGAGTCACAGACTTGAGCACTAGTATCAACTCCATTTTCAAAGGAAAATGTGGATGCAGGACTGCAAGTTGGCTTGATGCTTTCTTGCCGGGTGAAACCTTCATTTTTTCTTTTGCCATGGAAGCCACTGGGACCATTTAAAGGTGCATTTTTATGTGGTTTGTTACTATCTTGCCACTCAGAAGTAGATATTGGGAAACCCAGTTTTTGGTTGCTCAGTTGTCTGGATAGCTCTATCCTGTTTTGGTTTGGCATGGCAGATGTGAGATGTATCTGCTGCCAAGGCAACCTGCCAGTTTTGGGTGTGTGTTGCCTTGGTTCAACAGCTGGCTGGCACTGAAACGAATACTGCTTTTCAGCTGAAGTGGAGTAAGGTGCAGAATTCTGGTCTGGGGAAAGAAATGGTTTGTTTGCCCCTTCCCAGGTCTGTGAAATCCTGACATGACTTTTTATTGTACTTGGGATGTTTTTATCAAATGGCACCGTTCCAGTAAGGACGGTGTTAACTGGAGAACTTCCATAAGCTTTGCCCTGAAAGTGCATTTGGGATACCGAACCTTGTACAATATTTCTTGTAAGGGAACTTCCTTGAGTCAGTACCCTCTGAGTGGGAACACTGTCTTTTGGAGTAGAGCTTCTTTTACTTATTGAAGCAGTAGGGATGCCACTGTTATGCAAACCGATTTCTTCTTGCTTGAAAATGGCTTGAGTTTCTGGGAAGGTGTTCTGGTTTTGGTCTATGGAGTGTGAGCTTGAAACAGCACCATCACTGTCTGCAGAGTGCTCAGTTCTTCCTTTGTAGCAAGACAAAGATGACTGTGCTCCATGGGAAGACTGCAAATATTGTGTTTGTTGGGAAGGCTGTGGGTAAGACCTTCCATCTGGCTGGGGATTATCAAACTGGCCATTGCTTAATGTTTCCTCCTGTCCATCCCCTGAAGAATGGAATGGAAAAGCCCTGTGTCCCACTTGGTTATTTGCCAGGGAAACATCCATGTAGTCTTGGGGATGGCTATTTTGATCATTTGGAAAGGGGTCAGTAACAGAATCTTGCAATGACTGAAATCCATACTGATATGACATAGGTCCAAAGCTAGTATTTGCTTTGCCTCCTTCTGTAAAAAGAGTCGTTTTCTGCGAAGAAACTCCATAGTTAGCACCATTGAATGTCTTTTCTGGAGAATGCCAAGAACTTGTTCCATTGCCTTGGAATTCTGGGTAATGCAGTTGGGCACTCTCTGTATTGTTGTTTTCCCGGGGGACAGCGGATTGCTGCTGAGTGGCTGGCTGTTGGTGAGCAGCAGCACCAGCAGCTTGTGAGGTATAGTTCACGGAGGTAAGGTTAGAGGAAGCCTCCTGGAAACATCTGCTGTAGTTAAGGTCTTCTTGCTGGAGCTCTGCTTCTCGCTCGGGTATGCTGGGAACATGAAAGCGATAACTGCCCGTTATTGGACCCCTGCTAGTTTCAAGCTTTTTGGGCGGTGTCAATTTTTGTTGTGGGTAGGCAATCCCAATGGTGGGGTTAGTCCTAGAACTGGTCATGCTCAGTCTGTAAAGCTGTTGTGGGTTCCGGTCTCCCTTCCCAGACTTTTTGTTTTTGTCTCTGGTTCTGCTTTTTCCACTGGGGGACTGGGGACTGCCTTTGCTGCTTGGCCATGTCCTGTCACTGGAAAACTTGGGCCTGTTCTGGAGAGACTTGAAATCAATCTTCCCGGCTTGCTGAGGCCTGATCACAGCCTCTCTCTGTGTATAGGAGTCCTTTTCCTTTACACAGAACTTGGCCCCATTAACAGCCTTGGACTCCAGGGTAGCTGTGTTCTCGGGCAGGCTGCTTTTGAAGTCTCCTGACTCTTTTTCACTGAACTGCTCAAACAAAACCTCCTCATCCTGCTGCTTGGATTTACTTTCAGACTCTTTAATGGAGTAAACATGCCGAGTGTCTCCCGTCATGATATCCAGCAAGAGGCCCAGGTGTCAGATGTGTCCTTAGCACTGCTGAGTATAGCCCTTACGTGGAGCCTGCAGAGGCATTGCACTTTGCTCCTTATCCACGGCCTTGGAAACTCTTGACACGTTGAGGCTCAGGTGCTCTCACCTCTATCATCCCTTCACAGACATCATTGTTGCTTTTCTTCTCATCTTCCCTGAAGAATCCTGTAAAGAATAAATGAAATATTAAGATCTCCTGATAAACCGATGTTTCATCAGTGCACAGATCAGAATGGCTTATTAATTAGGAATTCAATAAATATTAAACAATATACTACTTCCAAAAGTAAAAACCTAGGCAAGAAAAGAAAGTTATATCATTTGGAGTCTTCATATCACTGTCTCAGAATGAAGACTATGGGTTCTATTTAATGACTGAAATTTGCAAATGTTTTGGACAGAAAAACTCACTGTATTTGTAACAGCCTTTTCTACAAATGTATTCTATTTTTTCTTCTTTTAAAAAAGTAACTTCTTCTGCATTCCCTCTCAGTTTTTGTTGTTTTATACCATAGCTATTGGAACATCCACTTTGTAAAGTACATTGTTGAATTCCTCACAACTTATATCAGGTTAAAAAAATAGTCAAGAGGACAAAACGTAAGAAAAACCTAAGAAACAATAGTTACATTTGTAATGTCTAAATCCATATGAGAATAACAGACAGGGATAAGCCTTCTTAAACATACAAGACATCAAGGTGAACTCATATTTGTTCCTCAGAGTTCCATTTGTCTCACCTCTGAGGAGCACTTTGAAGGAGAATGGTTTTCCTTTTGTAATATGTAGCACAAGTTTAAAAAATCCTAAAAGAGATTAGAAGCCCTCCATGGAGTGCTGGGACATAATCACCAAATACCTGCTTACAAATGATTTACGGACTGCTATTACTTAGACAGGGGCACTGCATGACAGCTGGATAAGCACTTCCAGGAGCAGTTTACGTTGGAGTATTCACACAGTTCATTCAGCTTCAAACCACCAGCAGAGGGAAGCACTGAAGCATTGCTTGGCAGTGTAGTTTCATCTTTAGAATTTCTCCAAAGAATATTGTTCTATTACTAAATAGTTCAGACTTAAACGTAATATCATACAAGAAACAAATAAAGATTCATTTTTGATAATGGAATGAAATAAAGATACAAAATAAATTCATTTATTTAACCTAAATTCAATTATATGAAAACACAGTCAAAATGTGTTTGCCTTTACAGTACTATTTTCCTGAAGAAGGACATTTATAATTTAAGTGAACTGTATTTATAATTTAAATGTAGGAATTTGGTTATATTATTTTTTCAAGTTTTCTGAAAGTCTTGTGTATCCAAATCAATCTCTTGGAAAAGCAGAAAGAAAAGAAAGATTAAGGATGAATAAAATCCAGATGTTTTACTGCAAGAGATTTTGTCATTTTAGACTGATATTTTGTGACAGTCACATTCTAGGCTATTGATACACACCACATACAATATTTAAAATTATAAAATAAAATAATAAAAGTTCTGTACTGAAAAAAACCTAAACCTTCTAACCTTCAGCAAGTTTATTAACCTCATTTGCTGAGAGACATCTAGTCCCATGAGATGTATAAATGGCTACTGTCTTTGCTGGTGTTAAAACTGCCTTGGACTTTGAGTTCCACCCAGGAGGAAGTCATGTGTTCTTATTCCACTTATCTTTACAGGAACTGGGTTAAGCCACAGCCTGATGGGCCACTAGTCTCAAGGACAGACTAAACAGGATATTACAGTCCACAGAAAAGCTTTTCTTGTGTCCCTTAAACAGAGAGCCTTGAGCTCCGCGCAAGTGAATATCGATTCTCTTCAAAGTAAAAAACCCTGTTGGAATGTCAGGAATACACTGAACAGGAGTGGAGAGAACAGAGTGTCTTACAGCTAAATCCAGGGATTAGATTCTAATTAATGGCTAGCCAGCATGACATGGGTGTGAAGAAGGCTTTTAAACAAAAGACGACACAGAAACTAAGACTACATTCCTGCTTCCTGGAATCTGTAGAATCATAACCAAATTACCAAAAGCAATTTAAATTGCTGCGGAACACGTTAAAGAGTGGAAACATTTTCTAGATGATTATTTATAAGTTTTGTCTACACCACAGTGTTTATTTCAGTTGTTAATGCGGACAGAAATCCTCAAAGTGTATGTAATTTAAAAAAAATACATCCAAAATTAGTTTTCTATGCTTTGGTCCATCTAACTGACATTTCTCTTCCCTGTTTGGAGGACTGAACTCAGACTGCAGATATTAATTTGGTTTTCTTGGCAGTCAGAACTCCCTTTTGGTTTTCCAAATCCAGCTATACACAGAGCTGCCGACTATGTCTGTGTATACTGTCATCATCTGCATTTTTTCACACTTCAGGCTCATAGTGCAGGGTTATTGAAAGTGCCCATGGAGATGTACTGTACCTTACTGATAATGCTGCAAAGTTCCAGGCTCTCAGCAAGCCAGACTGCAGGAGCCTGGCCAGCATCTAGCCCATACAGCCCCAGGGCCTCTGAAGATATAGAAGCCTTTTCACAGACCAAGGAGCTGTAGATTCTAGTTCCACAAATGTGTTGCAGGCAGGGGCCTTTACTCTTAAAACCCCTTGTGACCCTCATCTAAGTGTTTTCTAGTATTTCTTAGATTTCCTGAACCAGTTTGAGGTTTGGAACGATCATGAAATCTGTAGAAAAGATTAGGCTTTGAGTTATGCAATCTGTGAAAGTATGAAAACATGGCCTCTATCTTAATTATTATTTGATAATGTAATCCAGCCAAAATTGAACATGTGTGTAGAGGACCCGTTAAAATCATTCACTGCACATCACTAGTGCTACTGTACTTTATATCTAGTTCCATTCTCTGGCCCAGCATTAATAAGTTCTTAGTTTAGGTCTGTACCACACTAAGTCAGCTTTACTAAGGACCTGGAGCAGAATGCTAACAAAAGTAAAATGATAAATTAAATACAAACTGAAATGTATTGTATTTTTTGCATTTTCAGTTTGCATTTAATCTTCCATAGAGACATATTCTATGTGTAAACTAAGAGTAAAGGATCATGCCCAGAGCATTGACTGTTTAGAATACTGGCACTTCAACTGATTATGTTAAATGCCAAACATTACAAACTGAGAACCATTGCCTTTTTTGCAGGTTTACATTGGCCTCATGCTTCATTATAGGAAGTGAATCGAGAAAAAGGTGTAAGTCTACAGCAGAATGTCATTTTTGTGCTGCTCTGCCAGCATCCATTCACATACAAATCCTGTGCCTGCATGAATTAAACATTCATGTAAAAGTGCCGCTTATATCGGCCGCACCAATGACTATGAAGGCTTGTTTACCACTATTTAAATTTGCCAAGGCGTGACGCCAAACAGAGAATCCAGGTGCCAAATGCCACTCTACACAGACGTCTGTGTTTAAAATTACAGACGGATAAACAGGCACACTTAAAGAATCTCTTGTAAGATCATTAATTTGTCTAGAGTACACAATTTGTATGTTCTAGGTCTTAAGAGTCACAGAAAGATAAGTGGCAGGACTCCTGCCTCTTGGATACGAAGAGTAATAGACATGGTTTAATTTCACACTTGTTCTTTCCTATATTAACTGCATTTGCAATGTAATCTAGCTACAGCACAAATATCACCTGGTCAAAGTGGACTAAATGAATGCTGGGGGAAATAACTTATTTGACTGCAGCTATTGATTAAAGGAAAAGGTTAAATTAAATGGCAATTCATGTGAAATGCTGAGTTCAACTAAATGCATTTGTTTCTTTAATTTGATCCATATCGTTTGTGCCAAACCAGACCTCAACAAGGGCATCCTCAAATATGAAAAGACAATTTGCAAAGCTTTTCTTTAAAGGACCCATAAGCAGTGTTCGGAGCTTCGAAATATACAGTATAGCTTATGTATGACGATGTCTTGTGTTGCAGTAACATAAGCACATGTTTTTTTTTTGTTTACTCCCTGATAACATTTTAAATGTAAAAATCCACCAGTTCGAATCTCAGGATACCAGCTTGTGTCCATGTGGTCCTCCTGTACATTAGTGTACGTACTGTACAGAAAAGATCCTGCTGATCTTGAATTGGCTCAGAGAAGAGCAAGAAGATACATTCCAGGGTGTGAAGGGACTACACCGAAGGGCTAAAAACACTGAATGTTTTTAGTCTTGAACAGAGATTATCAGGGGAACTGATACAAGTATTCAAATTCAATGGCAAATCAGGTACCAAAAAAAATCAGTTTCCGAAGGAAGTGAACCACAAACCAGAGGACACAAGTGGAAACTTGGTTTCATATGAAACTGCATTTGGAACCAAAACAAGAAAGAACTTCTTTACACAAAGTTTAGTCTGGATCAAACAACCCAGCTATTCTGTTCGGGCCAATAGCCTGATTTCTTTCAAGAAACATTTGGATTCTTGGATCAATTTGCTACTAACTACCGAAAGGGCAAAACTGGTCGAAAAGCCTCCTGTTGTAATTGTTCTCGTGTTCTTACGATGAATCTTCCATATGCAGCCACTGTCATCCACTGGAGAATCACCAGCTACAGGCTCTACTGTCACAATCAAATTGTCTGACAGACTGGATAACAGTCTGGAGCATTGCACTTTGTGAACTACTTTCTTAGAATTGAAACAGTCAATACATTTAAATAATGGAAAGTAGACATTGATTCCTTTAGATTCCTTCCTAGAGATGGGTGGAACAGCTAAGTTTAAGGTCGTTAGTTTAAAAATTCAATTCAAACAGCATATGGTAGTATCCAATTCACCAAAACAAATTTGCTCTGGAAATTTCCTTTTGTTTGAAATGGAATTTGAACTCAGAACTGCTTAAAATACGGAAAAAGTTATCTAATTACAGTACAGTACTACTGAACTATACAGCTCAGCTGAACACAAGTAAACTTGTGGTACAAAAAACTCTGTAGGCAGCACTATTCCGTAAGTATTGCCCAGTGGAATTCCCTTGCAATTTGGTGAGTCAAAGAACGCCACAGCTCAGACAGAGAGTAAACAGAAAAAATTATAAAGTAACTGAATAGACATTGTAATGTACTTTAACTGATCAGCCAAAGGTTCTTGGTTCGTTATGGTAGTATTATTTTGTGACATTTAGAGACAATATGCAGATT